TGACTTCCGTAGTAAGTTCGTTCTAATTGGTCAATATTAGCCGGGTAATTGATAGGTCCAAGATTTACTATCTCACAACGTCTAAATTATATGTAAGATCTGTAGCCAGCACATCAGCCTACTGGGATGTCAGCTCACCAGTTGGATCATCTATAAAATCCATTGCCTTTGTTGACATGATTGCTTTTTCTATCCAATGTGTTGTAACATTTCTAAAAACATATTCAACAAGTTTGAATAGTGTTGCCACCCTTTCAACAAGGAATTTTCTCTCAGAATTGTGCCTCGGGAGAGAGTGTTTTGGATCATATTTGATCATTGTATAGAATTCCTTCAATGTTGTTTCAAATATATCATGCAATTTCTTTTCTCAGTCTAAAGACTAGTGCCATAATCCAAAAAAGGAAAAAGTATGGTTGCAAAAGTGGTTGCAAAGGTAATTGCAACCACTTTTTATATGCTGTAAATACAATTACTACCATCATCATAATTTACAGCACTAGTTTTTAAATCAAATTAAATGTAGCTACAATCAACCAAATTTGATTAGCTTTAATTACATAAACACTTTATTCTACTGCTTTGGTATTGCGATTTACCAAATTGAGTTAATATTAACCAGTATTCAAGTTTTATCATATGCATACGTGAAACACATGCACAAATGAGCAAAAGAACAAAAATTCGAAAAATATAATATGTGGTTTAGTTTATGTGGTTTAGTTTTTTTGATTTTTTTTGTGCACAATTTAAATTAAAAATACAAATATAATAATAATTTTTTTTTTAATTCAAGGAGCACACACTGACAAGACTAGTTTTTATGCAAGATATAAAAAGACATTTTTACTAATTAGTCAACAATCTAAACCAATCAATTATTTATGATTAAAAAACTTGCTACAGTAATCTATTAATAATCTAAACCATCTGCATCAGTATTAGGTAAAATCAAAATGTTATACCAAAAAAATTAAAAATGACAGTTTTGCTATGTTACTTCAATGATGATAATCAAAGGCTGTTTTTCTCTTTCTGAAATTTTCAAACAAATAATAAAAATTAAATACTGAATTTTTCTTAGTTCTAAACTAACAAATTCTACAAAAATTCATAAAATTTTGTAACAATGTTACTTTATACTTTATACTTTATATATTAACAAAAAGTAACTGACATTTATTTAATTGA